TTTTTTTTTCTTATATATTATATGGGTACCTACATAAATATAATTAAGATTTTTTGTTTGGGTATTTGGGTGTACCTACTTGGGACTTGAGTTAGTAGGCAGTAGCCAGTATATTTGAGCTTTTATTAGCAATTTGAACTAGTACCAGTTGTCAGTACCTTATACCTATTGTACTAAATTGTACCTATTTACTAATTCCATTTTTGTACATATATGTATCAATTAATAAATTAATATATAAATATCATACRTTTTATTTAAATCAATATAATTGTACGATTGACTGAATATCATATATCATTTCAATTTTTACATAATGATTGGCTCACGATTCCAAAACAATTGTGTATTTTAATAATCTATACAATATAACATAATATATATTATTTGGCATGCACATTATTGAAATTTGAATATAAATAACCTACATTACGACTCGTATAAAGTCGGCCTTCGTGCGAATGGTAGCGCACTCTGGTGATCAATTCTGAACTACCAAACTGCCGCGATTTTTTGCGTCAATGACAYCCAGCGCGGCGGTAGTGGCACGAAGCTAAGTAAAAAAAAAAAGCGAAGCGGTCACTACTCAGTACTCACTACCGTTACAGTAGTACAGTACTACAGTACATTACACGAGCCAGAGTTTGCCCATTGAATGTGTGTAAATTTGCCCGTTTTCTTTAGCCAGGGCTACAGACCTAATGAATGAACGGATTTGTCTGTTTGTACTGTTTGCAGTATCAATAGATCGGGCATGATTTGTAGATTACACCTTTGTCATTTTTGAAAAAATTGKTTGAATAATGCCGAATATATTAGCAAAAAAAGTCAAGTATTTTCGAAGCAAAACGATATTGTGCTCGGCCGTTTATAATTTTAATTATAACGTTTCACGCAAGCAGCGCACGTGCGCACGAGACCGTATTACCCCATCTATTCCGTATACGTATACGTCGCTTTGGGCAGCGGGTTGCGACTTGCGGCAGTGCCGTATCTAGGCATTGGCAAGATGGGCGGTGGCCAAGGGCGCAGTTTAAAATGATCGCACTAGGGGCAGTGGTTAAACTGAGGGTGGACGAAGGAGGACTGAGTACCCCTTCTTATTTACGGTTAGATTATGCGTCCCCTTTAATTTAAGTYTYCAAAGTCTRGGGGGACGCTAAAAAAATAAATTTATTGTGAATTTAATAATATGTTGCATGTTAATTTTAATAATTTATTAAATTATTTATGCAGCCACACACATTGATTAG